CCTGTTCATTCGAAATGATTAAACACAAGACTTTACTCTGTGAATCCAAAGAGGCCTTGCTGGAAGGCACAGTTAGGGTCGGATCAAAGCTCTGTCTGAGTTCTGGCGGAGGTTACGCCAGAACTGCCCAACGACAAGCTGCATCCACTCTGCAGCATTTTCTTCGAGTAATTTCCATTTCTTTGTACTGTCTGAGTCATTCTGCAGAAAACCCAACGAGTTCTTGCCAAGAGAAAATTTACTTTAAAATCCCGCTATTAAACTTTCCCAGTGAATCAGAGCTAAGATGGAGCAGCTGACAGCACTTGTGATGCTAGCCTTGCCAGCGTTTTTCCACTGCAGGGTGTTGGCCACTGGGCCAGCAGTGTTTCCTGCCTGAAGATTGTGCAGTGAGCTCTTTGGCTGTACAGCTATGTCCTTGTAATGAAGATATGCACAATCTGAACAGTACGATGAATATATTATCGTTTGAAACAAACTTCACAGCTCTTTTAGCGCCCATTATGTTTTCAAGTTTTAATAAATGCATTGCATTCGCTGAGATAATATCCTCACTCATCAAAGTAGTAACAAGCACAGGCATTCAAATTTATGTGGCGTGCTTGTGCAAGATTACATTACATTTTTTTCAGGCCACTTTGTAAATACCGGGCTTTCAAGGTACAGAGTTAGACACACTTAAGGGACATTTGCTCAGGGAGGGTTTGCACACAGTGTTTACACTAGGAGGTGAAGAACAAACATGGCTGGCCTAATTTTTAGTCGGGTCATCCTGCTTCAGCCGAAGACAAGGGTCTGTGCGTCTCTGTAGATGGCTTCGCAAAGTAAATAAAGACTTGAAAGACTGTGGCTTACCACAGCATAATATTGGGTTGTTGTCATATCCATGCACACTCTCTTATAATACGCTCTTTATTTGTGAATCATAGCTTTGTAGATCGTGGAGGTAGTGCTGTTCCAGCGGTTCTGGGGGATTAAAAAAAACAAACACAGCAACCGAACAGATCAAAAATCAAATTTGGGCCAACACCGTTGTGCCAGATTAAAGCTAAGCTAAACTAGACTAAACTGTCATCACAAACAAATTTAAGTTATTTATTTCAATACTGTAATCAGAGGATTTACAGTAATCACTCAAAATCAGCAAGAAGAGGCAAGTAGAAGCAGCTGTTTACAGTTTGCAGCGGCCTCTCTTCACTTCCCTGCTGTTTCCTGTCTGTCTTTGAATCCTTGCGATAGGGAAAGAATCTAATTAGAGTCAAAAGTTTTGTTTACGAGCATGGAAAGTCAGCAGGCTAAGAAACCAAACTCAGTGGCGACTTTTGTCTGTGTTTCTATTGATCTCACTTTTCCCTTTTCGCTAATATTACAGCATACACTAACAGTAATTGCATCCAGTGCATCCAGAGTAGGCACACGTCTTAATAGTGCATTATATGGATATTTTAAAAAATGGGCAGAACTGAAGCCATGGATAACGTAATGATGAATGTATATAACTAAAAAAATAGTCCTTTTTTTATTGTTTGCATTGTAAGTTTAGTTGTTCTGGCTTCTTAACCTAAAGCTTCGTTTTTCTGAAACAAACAGTTGCTGACAAACAGTCATGAATGGAAATTTGGTTGAAGTTCTGGAGGAGGTTTTCCTGATTGCATTGAAACCGTTGCTTTAAATCATCTTGTGCAGCTTGCTTCTGTCCTATTAATGCATAAATGCACACACAGACTCTCTCCTTCCTTCAGTGTCTCTCCGGACCTCGGAAAACAGCTGAACTTTGTTGCTCCGGGATTTGTGCTGCTAGACTCCCAGGAGTCATGTCATTGGTATTCCCAGTGTGTTTGTCGGTGTCCTGCCTCAACTCCCTCCTCTCAGCATGTGCACACTCCCTCCACACCATTTGAACATATGGCTCTGCTTTTCATCACATCAGTTGTTGCTTGTTTGGTTTTTCTTATCTGGATTTTGCGCTCTTGGTTTTGTTACGGTCTGTAGAACAGAAATGGGCAGAAGTGGTTTTTGAAAGGAAACATGCATATTTGCACACGGATGCAGTTTTCAGCTCACTTGGACTTACACAACAACAACAAAAACTATCACAGCTATTTGGCCCAAGTAGGTCGAGTCTGTTTCATAAGTAGTCATCTAGCGTTTAGTGTGCAGCAAGTTTTCTAACAGTGCAACTGAGAAAATCAATAATGAAATCCAGCTGAGGCAGAGAAAACAGAAGGTGCACTCATCGTATGAGAAAAGAGACAACTAGAAGATGCAAAATCATGCTAAGATTACATAAAATGCAACATTTTACAGATGGAGGCCCATCCAGGTGTAAAACAACAAAGGTGTTTATATATTTGATATTTCATTTCAAATGTAGTTTCCCTTCAACTAACAGATTTCTACAACTCAGCAAAAAACTCACTCAGAATTTAAGACTACTCACATATCTGGTTTGTTTTGTGGCACACAGTTGTGTGTGTGTGTGAGCTCTGTGCCTGCAAAGCTCAATTAGACAGTCTAGAATGCCCCCTACTGGTCAGGACTGGAAGTACACTTCAGGTGCTTGTTCGTATAAGTAGTGTGCAAACCTATAATGTTGTGGACAAAGCAGAGCTAAAATTCAGACACACAGTTTGTCACATATATAAATATTAAATATCATCATTCCCCCCC